ATACCGGACTGAGCTCGATGGCTTGATCTAGTAGTTCATCAGAAGGGAATTTAACCATGAAGCTATTTGCAGATACCCGATTAATCTCATAGGTCCAATCCAAGAAATTGAAGCGGTACCCTAGCATTTCTCTAAGCTCATCCAAAGATGGCCAGCCCAGCTCAGGAGTGAAGATGGCGAAGGTAGGAAGCTCTTGAATGATGCTGGCGACATTATCTAGCACGAGGAGCAATTATAGAGTGACGCAATCTCTCAGACCATGAGGGAAATCCCGTGAGGTATGGCCTGAGCCATGACAATGGATACAAACGCTATCATCGTGAGACATGATCTTCTAGTTTAGGAAGTGAAGGGTGTGTAGTTGATATGAGGCTGGGATTGGAGGAGAAAGGTAAGCTTGTTCGCAAACTTGACAAAGAGAATGGCGATGATGGGAAGATTGATGGCTGCGTTGAATGGTCAAGTTGTTAAACAGGTGAAGAGATGAGGTTAATTGCCATGTGGTAGATGGGAATAGTGAGGAGCCATGTGATAATGACTACCTGTCTAGGAAACAAACGCTACTATAGAATGCATTTAATGCACAGAGAGAGAAATTTCTTTTTTTGTTACATTGACAACCAAAAGGCTAAACTTGATAACAAATGCATAAGCTTAACAACAAAGTGCTAAACTGTACAACCAATTTATAAGCTTAACAATACAATATCAAACTTCATAATAAATCGATAAGCTTGACAACGAGTCCATAACCTTGATCGTAACAGCCAAGCGATAGTCTCTCAGACCAAAATTACACGTAAACATTTACTACTGCATATCAAACAAACGTATTCTTTACTATCAAGCAAAAACCTTTACAACCTTGTATCAGTCGAATATGTTGAGTACTTGTTTATGTTAACATGTTAATTATCTCTTAACTATTACAACTTTTAGCTGAAAAGGTTAACATTCAACCGAATACAAAGCGTTTAAATTAGTGACTGTTCTAACAATCATATTACAACGGCTAGCTGCCTGACTATTCCAACAATCATATTCCAACGGCTAGCTTGTTGTTCCAAATGCCTGATTGTTCCAACAGTCATATTCCAATGACTAGCTTATTGTTCTAAATGCAATATATAGTGTGACCAAAGAAATACTAAAACCTTAGCAGAAGTTCTATCATCCATTGATTTCCATTTTGAGATTGTAAGATGAATACATCGGAGGGGTCTCAAGCACTAGAAGAGGTATGTTATTTCTGTAAAATTCCAACACCCCTCAAGCAGTGCAAAAATAGGAGGAATAGAGGTAGATACTTCTGGAGATATGCAAAGTTCCCAAATAAGCAATGCAAGTTTTTTTACTTAGGCTCACGATGCTAATGCTATGAAGAAGAACATTCCAGTTTACCAAGAAATTCCCGTTGAAGATAAGATAACAGCCAAAACAAAACAGTTGAAGAAAGCATTAAAGAAATCGAACCGTGAAGTCGAAAAATGGAAAATGTGTTCATTCCTTCTATGTTGTTTTTGTATGGTTCTCATTTTCTTAAACATTGTGATTTGTAAATTGAAAATGAATTGAAAAAACTTTAGGTTGTAATTGAACATTGTCATTTGTAAATGTTATTAAACATTTACAACTACAATAATCTTTCTGAACAAAAATAAACGTAGACATTAACAACCTTGTATAAGGTAATCATTTTCTTTACTATCAAGCCACAACCTTTACAACCAATCCCTAGGCTTAACAACAATCTTGTAACCTTAAACTTAACAATACAACTATCAAACTGGACAATAAATGCTAAACTTAATAATAAAACGATATCTTGACAACCAGTCCCGTAAGCTTGACAACCAGTTCGTAAGCTTAACAACCAGTCTATAAGCTTAATAATAAAACACTAAACTTAGCAATAAATTAGTAAACTTGGCAACCAGTCTATAACTTTGATCACAATAGCCAAACGATAATCTTTCTGAATAAAAATAAACATAGACATAAACAACCTTGTATCAGGCAATCATTTTCTTTACTATCAAGCCACAACCTTTATAACAAACAAATAAGCTTAACAACAACCCATACACTTAACAATAGATCCCTAAGCTCAACAACACGATGAGACCTGCCTATACAACCATTGTCTTTGCTCTAAGTTCCATCAGCGTAGGTGAATATAAATGGCTCTCTCCAATGAGCTTGTCCAATAACAGGACAGTTAAGATTCATAAGTATAATGAATACAATCAATTCAGTTGGATCAATGCGTGAATCATATGGGAAGGCATGCATATGACGGTGGGGATAGTACTCTGGCTTACGTTTATACTGTATAGGTATACAGTGTAAACGTAAGCCAGAGGACTATCCCCACCGTCATATGCATGCCTTGCCATGTGATTCACGCATTGATCTAACTAAATTGATTGTATTCACTGCACTTTTGAATCATAATTGTCTTGTTAATGTACAATCTCTTTGGAGATAGCCATTTACATTCACCCACAGCTAATGAAACTTAGAGCAAAGACAATGGTTGATCTTCATGATCACAAACAAAAGGGGGAACGACTTCATCATCATGAGGGCTAGCCAAGATCTTCATCAACATGTGTCCCTGTTGCCATGATCTTCATCAGCACAAGGGCGAACATTGATCTTCTGGTTTATGGCGACAAGGGGACTTGAAGATGTAAGAGGCTTTTTGGAGAGGGTAAGCTTAGGATTTACATGTAAAGGAGTGAGGGTCAACAGAGAGTCGGTGACGGGGTCATCGAGGAAAGGACGGTGGGGATAGTACTCTGGCTTACGTTTATACTGTATAGGTATACAGTGTAAACGTAAGCCAGAGGACTATCCCCACCGTCATATGCATGCCTTGCCATGTGATTCACGCATTGATCTAACTAAATTGATTGTATTCACTGCACTTTTGAATCATAATTGTCTTGTTAATGTACAATCTCTTTGGAGATAGCCATTTACATTCACCCACAGCTAATGAAACTTAGAGCAAAGACAATGGTTGATCTTCATGATCACAAACAAAAGGGGGAACGACTTCATCATCATGAGGGCTAGCCAAGATCTTCATCAACATGTGTCCCTGTTGCCATGATCTTCATCAGCACAAGGGCGAACATTGATCTTCTGGTTTATGGCGACAAGGGGACTTGAAGATGTAAGAGGCTTTTTGGAGAGGGTAAGCTTAGGATTTACATGTAAAGGAGTGAGGGTCAACAGAGAGTCGGTGACGGGGTCATCGAGGAAAGAGTAAACCGAAAGGTTATCTTTACTATCTTATAGTTGAACAGGCAAAGGGATAATGATGTTGCCGTATGGGATGTGAGGATAGGTAGGAGTCTAGGCTATCTTCTCCTTAGAAACTATAAAATACATTGAATACATTAGTAGTAAATATATCTCTTGGTGACCCTGACAACCAAGTGCAAGTGAATAATAGTAAACTTAACATTCAAGCGATCAACTTAACAACCAAATAGTAACCTTAACAGCCAAGCCATGACCCTAACACTTGTAATAATATACTTGACAACAAATCCATATACATGATAATAAAACGGTAAACTATATAGGCTCGTTACAAGTTGTACGATTATGACCCTCCATGTTGCATTGAGAGCACTTAACAGGATGGATGTTCAGCGACCTGTTGTTTATTCGTTTAGTGCATGGTCTTCCACATCTTTTTTTTTTTGGTAAGAGGAGGCTTTAACAATCGATCTTCTGGTGGTACAAAGTATTTCTCTTAATCTGGGATGCAAAAGATGATTGGTGCATAACTAGCTCTGAATGCGTTAATAGTCATATACCAATCATAATATTGATAAATTTCTCATCCCATCCATGTAATTGTAGCGCATGCATGTTTACAAGGAATGCGGGTGATGTCCTAGGACCTACATGAACATGCCCGATTCTTCAAATCTACACAATAAGTTTTATTGGACTCGACCTCTACAATATCTTCCGTCGAATATTTTATGACCAAGCAGCTACCATGTTGAATATTTTTACATAGTACCATCTCCATTTCCGGGCATAAGTATCCAGACCATTTCTGACCCATTATCCTCCTTTCATGTATGTGCTCTATTAATTGCTTCCTTATGGTCTCAACCAAAGGTAAGATTTGTAACAATCGTGCCTTTCTTATCTAACTATTGAAGGACTCAGTAATGTTTGAAGTAATATGCACTACAAGAAATTACGTATTTAACGAAGGGATTTCCCTTCGTTAAAGAGCTGAAAACCTTCGTTATTGTATGCTAACGACGGGGAAAAATCCCTTCGTCACCCATCATTGAAGCCCTCTTCTCTAAAGGGTCACGAAGGGATATACTACCCGTCGTTATAGAGTCTATAATGACGGAACATATTACCGTCGTTAATATTTACGACGGTAATTATCACCGTCGTTACCATCAGTGACGGGATATTTTCCCATCATTACCATCAGTGACGGGATATTTTTCTTTCGTTACTATTAGTTACGGGGATATTTTCCCGTCGTTACTATTAGTTACGGGGATATTTTCCCATCATTGAAGACTAATTAATGTCGGTTGGATACCGTCGTAAAAGTCCTCATAATGGGTAATTAGTAACCCATCAACGACGGTGATTTCCCTTCGTTGATGAACAAAATACGGTTTATAAAACCATCATTGTAGACTACAAATTTCTAATATACATTAATAATATTTTTTCATTCATAGACAACTATCATATTATTCTCAACCTGACACTAAAATTCACAACAAAAATATATTAAAAATACCCAATAATGAATAAGAGGAAAAATAATAATTTCATTCATTAATAACATCAATAAATAAATATTCATCATCCTCAAATATTCAATACTAATAACAAGAGTTAATATCCTAATTGTTCCAAAGAAAAATACATGAAACTATCTAAAACAAATTAAAATAGAAGTTTGGGGAAGACACATTCTTTCATCTCTAATCATCGTCAAAAAAAGACTCGAGCTACCCCCCTCCTAATCTTGCATGGATAGCCTGAAAATTAAAAAAAAACACATAATTAAGAAATATCAATTAAATAAATATTATCAGGAATGTTGAGGAACGTGAGAAAGGTGTCATCATAATGTTGAAAAATTTTGAACGCCACACTGAAGCTTGATTCAAGAATGTTGAGCAACGTGACAAAGAAGATATACCTACAACGATAAAAAAATAAAAGTAAAATTAGCATAAACTCAAACTTAGAGAAAGTTTAGCCATTAACTTTAAGCTTTATCAATAAAGCAAATTAAATCTAGCTTACTCCAGAAAGGATATCAGTCCATCACTGTTAGTATCAAAAAGCATAAACAACGGTGACGAATCACAATGCAGTTCACCAAGAAAGCACTCTCCTCTAAGATGTCCTTCTCTAAGAAAGTGCTCGCCTTCAAAATGACTCTGCAACAGCAAATAGAGACAAACAACTCTTAGTAATGTTGATATTGAAACTGGCGAGCATGTTTTGACGAGTGAACTATGCATACGATAGTTGTACACAATGCAAGTTCCACATTTCACAAGTTATATAGAAAAAGGTTAACATATATCTATATTGGTCATACACTTTAATCATCCCATAAATGCTGGTTTTATGTGTGGAATGCATAATAGGTAATACTAAAGTAACAATAATTCATAAAACTACATGTATTGCACTATTCAGGTATTTATACCTTCAGAGTTTCAAGATCATTTGTATGCTCTGCATCTTTTTGTCGCTGAACAGCAGCCCCAAGGCGAACAAGGAGCTCATTTGTTTTCCCAAGAAGCATTGTTAAGCGTTCATTTTTGCTCTCCTCTACCATCTTCATATATGCTTCTTGGTCATCTGCTTTCAGTGCTTGGGACCTCAACTTTTCTGCATGTGTAGCTCTTTGCCTTTGCCTTTGCCTTCCATGCCATTGCTATCGAGCAGAAAAATCAAAAAGTTTTACAAACAGATGGAAATGCAAGCAAATGCATGCTTCAATAATCAGCTATCATAAATAAACTTCAACGCAAGGGTGTCAGACTTTGTTTCTCTTGGGCAAAAGCGTGTGTGTGCATGCTCACATACACACAGAGATGTATGGACCAAAACCATCTGATTTTATTTACATTTTTGGATAATATTTAGTGGCGCCAGTCGTCACTTTGCACAGTCAGCTGGAAGCATTCAAACCAAAAGAATAATTGGTTTGGAGTCTCACCATTTGTGTATGTTGACATGTGCTTCGTGCTGGTAACTATGTACATGACACTGAGAATAGACCAGTTTGATATCACCTTTCAACTAGAATCAGCAAGAGCACAGTCCCTTGCATAATACAGACGGCAAACATCTGTTTGTGTATTTTGGCATGTGCTTGGTGCTAAGTATGCATGTGACACTGAGAATAGAGTAGTTTGATATCACTTCAACTAGAATAAGCGAAAGCAGATTCCTCTTGCATCATATGGATATGGGCAAACATTCATGATACATATGTGAATGAAACAACTTACTTAACGTTCTATTAAAAAACTCTCTTTCATATTTGAAAAAGTATGTGCTAGCTTCTCTTTTACAGATCTTTAGATGTTCTGAGGTGGAGTGTTTGTAGTTTTTTCATTTTTCATTTTTTTATATGTTAGAAGCTATTTGAGCTATAGTCAATAAAAGAAAACTAAAGAAATAGTCAAACAAGGAACAATCTCTACATAAAATTGATACCTGAACATGGTCATTCTCACTTTTCGTCATTTAGAAGCACCCTGTGCCTGCAGTTGAAATTCACGGGCAGTATTAAGTAAATCAGCAAAAAAGCTCCTCTTTCTCATTTCATTGCGGTTCTTCTCTTCTTCTTCCCACATTGAGAGTCTCTGCAATGAGATCTATGCAATAAGAGACAAAAACCAATTTGTGAAAGAACATGAACAGTGTAAAAAATATTAGATATTGAAATTATGACATTATAAAACCTCAGCATCTCTTTTTTTTAGCTGATGATTAGTGTCCATGGCAAAAGCATCTCCAATACCATACATACTGAAAGGATGCCGCAGTCGCATCATTCCTCAGTCAAACAGGTATTGAACTCCCATCATTAATAAGTGAATGATACCTCAAATTGATCAGTAGATCAGTCGATCCCCGAATTGAACTATAGATCCTGGAATTGATGTATACGTTAAATTAATTATGCAACTAGATAATTTCTTCACATGAATTCTTCACCTGACTATAGATGCATAGCAGACAGTTTCTTGAAAATTACATAAAGAAAAATAACCATTATTTAAGTAGAACATTTAATATCAAAACATAGAGAAAATCCATAAAAACAACCATTAAGTGCAATTATACCACACAAGAACGGCGCTGGCAGGGGCACGACGAAGGGTTGCGGTGGAGATCTGGCGGTGCTGGGGCGACGCCGACGACGGGGCGACGAGGGGGCAAGGCACTGAGCGGAAGGTTGCGGCGCGGCGATGAGGGCGGCGTCGCACTAAGCAGCGGTAGGTGGAAGAGATCGTCGGCGCTGTGGCAGGATCGTGGGCAGATGTAGGAACGCCGGCGCTTGGCAGGAACGCCAGCGATGGGCATGTGGCAAGAACGCTGGCGCTGGGGCGACGCCGGCGCTGGCGGCTGGCGCGGGCGGCGACTGGCGGCGCTGGGCGACGCGGCGCGTGGCGCTGGCGACGGCGGCGCTGCGCTGGCGTCACTGGGAAGAGACAGGGGCGATGTATGACCTATGTGAACAGTAACGAAACTTTTAATTAGGGTTTAGATTAATATGCGCTAGTGGGTTATTTGGGTTTCGGTTCTAATTTATATTAGTTTTGGTTAGTGGATTGTTTGGGTTAGTGACCTTTTATGCTTAGGATTAGGAATTACAATTAACGAAGGTAATAGACTCCTTCGTGTTTTAGAAACCCAATAACGACGATATTAGAACCAAATCAACGAAGTGATTAGAAAACTGTTATCCCACCTCACATCATTACTCTAATAATTGTGATAATTCGATGAAGGGCTTTAAAACCGTCGTTATTGTACACACATTAATGACGGTCAACTGGTCCCTTCACTAATTTTGGTCGTTAAATACCAGATTTCTTGTAGTAATGACCATACCTTAACAACAAAACCTTAACATTAATAATAAATCCATAACCTAAACAATAAATCCCTAACCTTAACAACAAAATTCTAAACTTAACAACAAAACCCTAGCAGAAAAATTCTAACCATAATAATAAAACTCTAACCTTAACAATACTACTCTAACCTTAACAGAAAAACTGTAGGCTAACTCTAATCTAAACAACTATAATGGTACTGTAACAAAATAACGTTTAAACCAAGTTATCTTACCTTATACCAAGAAAATGCGTGTTTGCCTATCTCTCCGAGGAGTATTCCATTGTAGTGACGTAAGCCCTATGATCGATTACTGCCAATTCTTTCATGTCATTATCTCATTCTGAAATTTTGCACTTACAAGCAGCAGATTATAATAGCTCGCCTAATGTAGTGGTGGCATTTGCCTTGTGCCCAAAATCCTTCATCTTTTTTTAAAAAAAAATTCTCGACTAGAAACAGAACACACCTTGAATAGAAAGCATATGGAAAGAATTCCTCGGCTGCTGCCCTAATACCCTTGCCGGCATCAAAAATCATTACCAGCCGATGTGGAGGTTGGTAAGGATTTTCTCTATCATACAGTATTGTCTACAATCATTGTAAGAACCATTTCCACTTAGCCTCATTCTCCTAGTCGCATACGCAATAAGCAAGGGGAGATATTCCCTGGTTGCCATCATATCCAGTGGCACTAAGTAGTATGTTGCTATAGCGATCTTTAATAAATATTCCATCCAAAAATAGTAGAGGCCTACACCCAGCAATAAACCCTTTAATACAGTCATTATAACTAATGAACAATCGCCTGAACCTCCCGTCATCAGCATCAATAACAACACGACTCCCTGGATAAGTTGCATGCACCATGGATTCATACCTACATGAATATAACAACAAAGCAGTAACCTTAGCAATGGATTCATAACTATAACAACTGATCTTAAACCTTAACAACCAACACGTATACTTAACAATGAACCAATAACTTTAATAACTAAAACGTATAGTTAGCAACCAATAAGAGTGATTTCAGAAGAATAAAAAAGAATGTACCATCTCAGTGAATCGTAAGCCTCATCATCGTCACCGAATAGGTCGTGTTGAGCTGTCTTCTTTCCCCACCACGCTTTATTATAGTTAATCTTGATGCCAAAATTGGAGAGCATGTCGTTCTTGATATCAACTGCATAAAGATCTGGCCTAACCTTTAAAACAGCTTGTATTTGGCCAGCAATGAACTTTCTTGATGCCTTGAGTTACCAGCATTTGCTCCATGTTGATTACAGGTGTGGATAGATTCGAAATTTTTTGTGGATATGATCGACGAATTTCTAAGCGGGAAAGCAAACAACATCCAAGGGCAACCATGCTTGTGCTTGATTCGGCAATAGACTCTTATGCGCTTTTGTTCATTGTCGTAAAAATCATACACGAACCATTCAACAGCTATCAAATTTATGACTAACTTCACGTATGGCGGTCAGCCACTCAGTTAAGATCTTTGTTTGGTGGTTAATCATGTCTTCTTGCAGCATGATCGAGTCGCCGGTGGGGTTGTCATTAGGAATACACTCATCATTATAGGTATGGGTGAACGTGGTATCTGCGCATCATGAATTTTCTATCAGTATGGTCCTAAAGAAGTAAAAAATTACATAGCCTTAGCAACAAACTCCTAACCTTAACAGCTAACTCATAAGCTTAACAGCCAACAGCAAATACCTAACCATAGTAACCAACAAGTATACATAACAGCAAACTCATAACCTTAGAAAAAAAATCTTAAACATATTTTATAAATAAGCCAAACAACCCAAACATTAACAACCTGTCCTTAACCTAACCTTGATAACCAACTCATAACCTGAGCAACCAATGCATAAGGTTAACAACTAGTGGCAAAATCTATCAGTGAACTCATAAGGAAATCTAAAGTGTAATGCCTACGTATTTTCTGGCGTAGTCTGCGTGTTCTGTAAAGTTAAGGATTCCCCAGCGGAGGTAGCATACAAATTCATGTCTATAAAATTATTATGATGACAATACTCGAACATCAAATTTAAGTCATCGTCATTGTCAATTTGAATATTGAATTTCTTTTCCCTTTCACATATGAACTTCAGAGAAAGAGATTACATTGGTATTTTAAGTCTTTCTGACACTTGATATTTTAAGCTGATTATTTTTATATTCTCTTTGATAACAACGAATACACCGTCATTATCTTTGTTGCTTTTTATATTCGTTACCTGGAAAAGAAGAGATCCATCCATCATTTTATTGCAGGAAGTAGTTAAAGAATCAAAGAGAATTTTATTGCGAAGAATTAAGTTGAAGAAACAGAGTAGTTAGGGTAATAGAATGAGGAGGAACTCAGCGATTTTATTATAGCGGTAAGGGGAATAGATATAGTGAGAATTTAGAGGGAAATAGGAATCCCCCCTCCTAAAAAAAACATTATAATCACCATTTAATGCTACAGTATCAACGCCATATTTTCAACGTGAGAGGGCGACGGTTATAGGCTGTCTAGGGGTATTTTGGGCATTTCGTGAGGCGTTTAAATGGCGTTTCTCCTGAGGATTCATTTTAGGGGCTAGAAGAAAATCGCGACACATTTTGGAGGCAAATCACCTGTTAAAAATAGTCTTGGGGGAGCACGTTTTCTTTGATTTTTGGGGCTGGAAGCATTTTTCCCTTAAATCAAAAAGGCCCATACACAAGAAGTACAAAACCAACACCATAAATCTAAATATCCAAATCTAAAAACCCAAATATAACACAAAAGAATCCAAATCCATTTCACAAACCCAGGGGTGGAAATGAACTGAATAATTAATAAACTGTTCGGTTATTATTAGTTCAGATAGTCGGCCATATTCGACTCAATAGTTCATTAACTATAAATGAATATTATTTAATATGTTGAACGTCCCCGAGACTAACGACGTCGATAGCCATTCGTATCCAATGCTCTAATTGTTCGATGAGCTCCCTCAAAGTTCCCGAGCTTGGGGGTGGAGCAGTCAGATAAGTTAAGCAATTCGCGTAATCAGCGCGAGTGGAGGTGTGCGCAGCCTCAGATGACAACTTTTCAGCCATATTTGGCGCTGAGCCTGAGGTAGTCGGTTCCCGCCCACCGGTTGTCATTTCAAGACAACTTTTCAGCCATATTTGGCGCTGAGCCTGAGGTAGTCGGTTCCCGCCCACCGGTTGTCATTTCAAGACCAGGAGAAGCAGTTGGAAGCATAGTATCCCCTCTGTTCTCAGGAGATGCAGCACGCGTCGACTTTATCGCATCCCCCATTAACTTAGCCCTTTTCGGAGTTTTGGCTATGACAGGCAGCCGTTTACGAACTCTCCTGTCATACTCACCTTGCTCAGTAGCAGAAAGAGCATTCTTACCCGATCTTAAAGAACGAGGTTCAGGAACAGGCGCTTCTGCAGGAATCTCCTCAGTTGTCTTTTCTTCGGGAGAATTAGCAATTGGTGTCCCCTCGTCGATCCCCGCAGGAACCTCTTCCTCAGAAGGTTCTATGATGGACAAATCCCTAGGGGCCTCAACGGCTCCGGTTGCTTCTTGTTCACAAGATAAATATTCTTCTACCCCGGGTAGACGAGTCCTTGTAGAACTGCCCCTCGAACGATACAACTCCCGAATCTCATTTATACACGAAGTATAAATATCATATCCCGGGATTTGGGAAACCTCTTCAAACCAACTGCGAAAATCAGCAACAGTGGAGTAGCCAGACGGCGAATTGGGCAAAGTAAACTGCGCATGGGTTCCCCCGGCGAAAAAGAAATACCATGCACGAGCTCCTTCATACAAATTCCCAATTTGAGCCAAGCCGGGTTGGGATTGCCAACGTAAAGCTGGTCATATCCGAATTGCCTAGCAAATCTAGAAGGCACATATGGCTCGATGATGCACTTCTCACGCAAGCGATAGACCAGGTAGCCCAACCTGATCATAAGAAGCCAGCTAAATGTGCCCTCTTCCAAAGAAGACTAGCCCTCAAAAAGAAAGTCCAAGAAGAGGGCATCTTCCACCTCAGCTCCGTCAAAATTAGGAGCGCAACAGAAAATTCGGTAATTGTCTTCCCGAGATAGAAGCTGCCGAGCCCTGACTATATAAGAATTAGTCCATGAGGCCGACTCCAATCTCTGTACGAAGGGGATATAAGCGTCATCGCCCTCATATACTCCCGTCATCAATGAAGGGCAATGCAACGTGAACCAAACCGCTAAATACGTATACGACACTGGTATACGTGGCGGAGGAGTTTTCCCAGCTTTCTTCTTAGTAGATTTAATTCCTGAAGCGCTGAGGAG